TGGTCCGAATTGTTTGCAAGTGATCGATAGTGCTAAAACCCTTACGAAAGCCTGCTTGCTCCACTGGTTGGTATGCATCTAGTTTAGCTGTCAATCTATTTGTTATTATTCGGGTTAGTAGTTTGTAAAGGTGTGACAATAAGCTTATTGGTCGGTAGTTTTCTATATTTGCGGCTACACTATTTTCTACACTGTTATCATGTATAGACAACCCATCTTTGAGACAAAATTTTTCATAAAACTGAATTAGAGATGCTTGGATAAGCCAGCACATTTATCGAATGCTACAATTTGGTAGAGTACTGTACATTACTGCATGCTGAAATATATAAAGAACATAAAAATGAATACTTTTACCAACAGCCAAGCAATGATAGTAAGTGGTGGTCATGAAGTCCACCAAACTAATTAGCAAACTAATAAACCAGTCCAAAGAAACAAACTAATAAACTCGTTGGCCATGTTAGACTCTAGAACAATCTTTAAAAGCCTAAAACCATTGCATAAAAAATTAAATTTGCAAGATACAGGAAAAAAGTCATAACAAATAGGGGAACTATCAGAGCCAAATGCGTATAAAGAGGATCATTCCCGTTGTAATGAATATTAGCAAATGAAAGATGATCACATAGGTGGTGACTGGGCACTGTCAACTGAGTAAGCATGATGCGAAGTGTTGGAAGCCATACATATCTTCTTAAACGTGAGTGACATAAAGCAGGTATACACTGAAGAAAAAAGGCGCACAAACAAGTTGCTAATTATTATAAGAAGAGTAAAGGACTTCTTGGTGAAATTTAAGGAAAGCATAGTTTGGATCAAATGTCTTACGACATGTTTTGCACTTTTCTGAATAGGAAAAAAGATTTTCTATGCTAAAAACTACAAACCAGTTCTAAACACAGCATATATAAGCTGTTAACAGGTTAACTGCCGATAAAAATTATAACATTTGTGTCCGGTCAATTTTTTCAAAGATATGTGTGTATTTTGTAATACACCTATAGGTGCGTTCGGCATCGCAGCATGACACCAGAACACACCTATAGGTGTGTTCGGCAGTCAAACTGGTAATCGAAGGTATCTTAGTTTTATAGATCTTTTGGATGGTATGGATTTAATACATAAATTAATGAAGTTCTGCATAATATGTACCTACTATGAGTACAGCATGGAATTTTTATTCTACTCCTTTCCCCCTTAACCAATATACATTAACTATAGAAATATCTGATCAGACTTATCAACATTATTTGAATAACAGCTATTTCACAAAACCAAATTTTTGTAAGACAGACTTTTGTGTTAAGGCAAAATAATAATTTGGATGTGATATCTAAATAAGGGTTTACCTATTAGTTAAATATAAAAAATTTCTGTACAAAAAACAACAAAAAGTGTTTAATAGGCACTTTCAGTAAAAAATAATGGACTGAGTGTGCTTCGTTAATAAATATAGTTTCTGAAACTGAATCCACTTTATTTAGTTTTTTTTTTTAATAATAAGGGTTGTATAAAATCTGTAAATATTCCGCTATGTTTTCATTCAAGAACAAAAATATCACACGTCAATCCACAAAAAAAAAACAAATCTTTGGAACTGCGTAGCTTAAATTTATCTCTATCGTTTAAAAAGAGTTAGACCTAATACAACATGTTTATTTTAAAAATAATAATTATATGTAAATGTTATACTAATATGATATAATAAATAATTAAAAATTCAACACAAGGGCTTACTTTTGCAATGAATAAGACAAGTATAGTGTAACAAAACGGTGGTATATATTCTGAAGCCAGAAATAGCTCCATTAAACCAACTTACCTTAATATATAGAAATATGCACATAAAAAGTCCTTTGATGTTAAAAATGAAAATCGGTATTTTCCAATTGTTAACTGTTTGACAGGTATGGTCTAGAAACCTGGACCATAAAGGCCAATGTGATAAACCGATTGGAGGCCTTTGAAATGTGGTTATTTAGAAAACTACTTAAAATTCCCTGGACAGGTCACACAACAAATTTCGAAGTAATAAATCGAATGGGCAGAGAACGAGAATTACTGCCAATAATAAAAAGAAGAAAAACTGCTTATCTGGGTCATATATTTCCAAATTCCAAGTACCAGTTCTTAAAGCTTATTATGGAAGAGAAGATAGAAGGAAAACGGGGCATCAGAAGAAAGAAATACTTATGGCTTAAAAACATAAGGGATTGGACAAACCTCGATGCCCATGCACTCTTTAGAGCCACACAAGATCGAGAGGAATATGCCAGAATTGTCGCCAACCTCCACTAATTGGATAAGGCACCATAAGAAGAAGAACTGTTTGACATTTTGTAATGAAAATAGACCCGTAGCTTTTTATATTAAGAGCATAGTTTAAATATAAAAAATACATTAGTTTACACAATATTTTAGAAACTTATTTCCCTCTATTATGGTAAGTTGCGTTCAATCGAGCTAGCTGTTTGGTATTATGTAACGTATGATGTACCATTTTGTTACATTCTTTCTTACTGGAAATAGCCATAATTGTACAATTACAACTACTTTAGTTGACTTTTCGGCCTTCAGATGAAAAACCCTTTTTTAAAATACAACTTTTACTCAAATTAAACAAACTTTTGTTTTTTCCAAACTCGTATATTGAAAAGTGCTTCTGATCTGGAGGCCGAAACATCAAATTGGAGGAAGTCAATCTTACAATAGTTGTTTATCCACTCTTTATTAAAAAAGTAAAACGCCCAAAAAATAGCTCCACAACAGTAAATAGACTTAGTTAAGTAATTGATATTTTCAAAAACACTTAGTACATGTTGCTTATAAAAAATGTTCTGTTCAGCAAACTGCTATACATAGTTGTTGTTGTTGTTTTATAGCATCCGCACTAGCACGAAGGTCTATTATATAGTTTTATAAGTGGTGAAATAAAATTACATAAAGTGCAAAAGAATGACAAATCCAAATGAAGTACTCCAAATATTTGTATTTTAAAATATTTGTTTGCAGTTAGAGTAATTTTTTTTATACTTGAAATATAATAGGTTTATGCGACATAATAGACTGAGGGGATTACATTTATCAGAAGTAGTCCGGACGACAATATGACAAAAAAGAATGTAGCTAGAACTCGTCCTCAATAACTGTAGTGGTAAAAGTTATAAAACTACTCTAATAGGGATCAAGGCAGCAGTGATCCCCAAGAATTAACAGATAAAATGATATTGGAGAATGAAATAGGATCCATAAAAATGCTTTAATAAAACTTATCGGCAAATCGGTACTACTAAACCTAATTACAAGTCTCTGTATTCTCCCTTCCTCCCATACTTTGTGAAATATTTCTAATAGCAGAATTATTACATTATTTTTAAGATTTTTTTCATTTTCATGAGTTTTCCCATTTCTTAGTCTTCTTGTTTGGAAAATCTAATCGTGGACTTTTCTTGTAAAAAAAAACGGAGTGGAAGTTGTTACGATTGAAAACTCCTTTAACTTCAAACTTGTGCTACTACTTTCTAGAGACGAGAAGTGTGGATCTGAAAGTGACGTTATTTCGTCTTTATAAAAAAACTCAGGTAGCAACGCTAAACAGTTCTATGCTTCAAGAATGCCAACGGTAGAGGACAAATCGAGGTCAAATTTAACAGCTTGCACTAGGAGCTCTATTACGAACTCCATAGCTTTATGTTGCTGCATAAAATAAACTGTACGCAGTAGGCTAAGGATACTAACGAATCCAAGTCTGCGATAATTACTTTCAAGGATGAGACAAAAAAAGGGAAAAATATAGATGGACCAAACTTCACAGAGGCAATACGCTAAACATCCAAAAGATTGGTGTCTAAAAGTTAGGGGATGCGAGCTAATTATGGGTATACTAAAATTTGAACATGTATCCCGTGGAATCCTTGTAACTCTCCATAAAAAAGAAGACGTATGTAGTATCAATAAATAAATAAAGAAATGGAATATAAGCCTATGTGTGTTCATGCCAATTTTGCGAATAAAAAGATTCAACAAAATGTTAAAAACCTTAAATGTTAGTAAAGTACCTATATCAAATTTAACAAAGAGTAACCAAGTAATACCATAAATATAGCTCTTTTCTTAAAAACACATGTTTAAGAAGGAAGAAGGGCAGAAAATCATAAACAAAAAATTAGCTTATTATAAGCAATCGGACTGGGTCTCTAAATATAGAGATAAAGGTACCTACTATTATAAAGATACTATTATATAGATAGATAGATTAAGATACTATTATATAACAAAATAGTATAGCTTTTATTGTACATTTGTATCGGGATAATTATAGCTGCATTAAAAAGTGATATCGCTGTTATCTAGAACAAAATACGAGGAACATTGTCTATTTACCCTGCTTGGTACAGATTAAATGACAAATTAATAAAGATGTTCTCAAGAAAATATGAGGAACGACTCCATCATTATACACAAGATACATACATAGATTTTTCTAAGCTGTTAGGCAACATCAAGTTACTAGAGGAATTAAATGACATAAAATGTGTTGTTGAAAAACGGCAGAATATTGTGATGCCAAATAGATGTTGTTCATAATGTAATATCTTATTGTTTTTGACCAGACCAGAACCACAATATAATTGATGACAATGACGTTATAAAAATTTATAAATTAAAAGTGAATGTTAAGATTATATAAAAAATATATATAATAAAAATCCGAGTTTAAAAGAATATATTCCAATATCATTTGTATTTGTTATATTATGATTTTACTATTACATCTTAGGTCTAACTTTTTTTAAAACAATATCCGCAAAAGTCAATTAACGAGGTGTATTAATGTGAGTGGTGAGATGTTTCGATAGATAATCAGCCCTAGCGAAACATTTTCCACACATATCACAGTGGTACGGCCGCTCCCCGGTGTGTATTCTGAGATGGCGGGTGAGATCGCTTTTGCCGCCAAAAGCCCTACCACAGAACAAACAAACGAACGGGCGCTCACCTGTGTGCTTGCGCACGTGCAACTTGAGATTTTCCTTGCTTCGCACGCATTTCCCGCAAAACGGACAGGCGAATCTCCGCTCTCGCTGTCTTTCCGCCGAATCTGCTCTTAAGAAGTTTATGATCGACGTCTCGGAGGTTCGTAGAAGATCCGGAGGGTAACCGGAGGTTCCTTGGCAAGAAAAGGCTATTGAGTCGATAGTGTCGTCCTGTTCTGCTTCTGTTTTTTCTGCATCTGAGGATGTACCTTCACCTAAAACAGACAAATTAGTAAACTTTAGTGTTATAGTGTTTTAAATTGTAGCATTTTAAAATTCCGTTCTCTATGAAGTTTTAATTCACTTATTATAAATTTCATACTGTGTACAGTTTTAATCTACGTATTACAAAACTTCGAAAAAGAAACACTTGGATTTCTAACGGGAAGACATGCTATAAATGTTTGTTTGTAGGGTTTTAATTGCACTGAATAACGCTTTCTCTGTAATAACTGCGTCTTAAAAGCATCGATTGGAATAAACAAAATTAATCATTTATTTACATCGAAAAATGTCGCGTAAGAGAATTAAAAGTGACTGTAGACATTTGCTTGATTCTCTCTGCCAGATTTCTCTAAGCACAGATCGAAGTTTGTGTGAATTAGCAGGGCAGGTGACTAAAATCTTTTCTGAATTTTCTGATCTTCTAAAATCATTCCCGTTTGAGAGCATGTGGAATTGGGTTGAATTAAACCACGTACCACCATACCGGCATTTTGCGGGTATGAGCAATATCTGAGAGTCGGGAAAAGTTGTATGTGGATTAGATAGTAAAAGGAGAGACATTTTCTACATACAGCATGATATAAAAATGACTAAGGTAAATTCTAATTTTTTAATTTTTAGGATCATAACATTTAATATTAGGATCATATTTAAATATTGTTACCAGATCAACAGGTTACATTAGCCACGAAGGTCACTAGCTGGATAAAGATTATACAATAGGTGTACAAAGTATGAATTTAGGTACGTTAAATCTTACTTGCTAAGTTACATGTGTTAAGTAATTGGAAAAGAAGTTTACAGTGGGTTTGAAGGTTAAGAATGTGTTTCATATTACTTGAATAATCAGGTATCGACTGTTGTAATCGTCAAATTCATCACATTATGTTAGCACATATTTCATTGTTATTAAGCATTTTGGTGCTTGGGTATGAGTAATGACATGTTCATGAGTGCAGTGTCCTCACCAAAGACGAGATAGAATAACTTGGTGAGATTGTTGATTGATAGTGGAGTCCATGGACCAGCATCTTATTTTATCTCTCTTAGTTTGCTTGTAGATGTCTTCCATTTTTCTTTCCATAAATAAAGGGGTATCGATTTTATTAGTTGCTTTATATCTGAGGCTGGAATTGGTTGTTTTGCCAATGAAGGTTTCCCTCGAATATATAATAAGAGGTACCCCATAAAACATTTTTGATTTTATTTGATGAATACTGTGTCATATTTCTTTAATAAATATGGCCATAGTGTTGTTCGTGAAGTTTTGATGTATGGGTCTCAGTGAATTGAGTGAGTCAGATATTATTAAAGAGTGTTTGGTTTGTGCTCTTAAAATGTATTTTAACGCTTGTAATATGACATATAAAGTTCTCCATTTAAGATACTGTATGAACTGAGAGGCTTAAATAAATATTTGGTATCGTTGTTTATGAATACTGCTACGCCTACTCCTTGGGAAGATTTAGATGAATCAGTGAAGATGTGGATGTTGTGATTTAAGACCATTGGTTTATACTATTAATATATTGGATCACATTTATTGTATTGTGTTAATTGGACCGAGAGAAATTAATTTTCAACTTTTATAAAGATGTATGGAGGTATTAATTCGTAATGGTCACTTCGGTTTGTAAGAATGTCCAGTAAGTATGTCCAGTTAAATCTATGTTTCGGCTAATAACTATAGCTTGTATGTATCAACATAGTATTTTTAATTTTTCTAACAATATTATTTACTCTTGGAGCACATTCTTGGACGTTTAAAATGGCGAACGTGCTTCATTTTGTGGAAATGGTTTTAATGTGTAGACTGTATAAAACAAAAGTACAGACCATTTACAATAATATCGTAGTATTTAGCATTTAAAGAAAGAGCTTGAACAAATTGATTTATATTTTGCTAGATACTGACAAAAGTCATTTGTTTATTTATTGGAATGTGTCAAAAATTTGACAGCTGATAATGTATGGGACCTTAATAGCATTTAAAATTTCTCATATCTTTTAGAGTCGAAGAATCTAGATGCATATAAAATTCTATATAGTCATATTAATTGCATAAAATTAAAGCTCTGACAAAAAAAAAACGATAAAAAAATAATAAAGAATAAAAAAAAAATGAAGAACAAAATAAAAAAATAAATAAAATAAAAAAAAGTTACTACGAAGATCTAAACCTCCGAGGTGTCAAATCGGGGTATGTCTTAGCGTAGTAATAAAAATAAATAAATAAAAAAAATTTAAAAAAAAGTAAAAGAAATAAAAAAAAAGATACAAAAACAAAACAGCAAAAACAGAGTAAACTAGTAAGTAAGTTTCTAACATTCCATGTCTTAACATGTCTTACAATACAATAGTTTTAAATGTAAATACTAACAATATTTGTGTAAAGAAAGAACTCAAAACAAATTGACTAGCCAGTTGGTTGTCAAAACCAGTGCCAATAAAACAAACACACACACACACACACACAAAATATCTCGTGTCACTCAATATGTTTCTATATTTTTTGCGATTATGTTGCGCTGTTTCAAAATGGCCACCAAACTCACTTTTAGTCAATCCCACGGTTCGTAGACTTATTACGGTTGCCTCTTCCGACTGGTGTGGGGATGCTTGAGTTACGTCACCAGAGTACACAAGAATACAAAACCCATTTATTATCACAGTTTGTTAATGGTAATTATCTTTCAGTTATTATTTGCTTTATTATTTATCGTTTCTTAAATATCTTAGTTTACTTTAAATTTTTGTATTTGAAAATTTGATGTTGTTTTGTAAAAACTTATTTTTAATTACCGAAGAAAAGTTATTTATTGTTAGTTGTACATCATACCTACTGTAGAGTAACTTACAAGGAATATCTTTTTATAAGGTAGGTTAAAACTTTAAAATTTCACTGTCTATTAACGTAATAATAATGTTGATGACATTTTGGAATGCTAGGCACAGGTTGTAGTGTGGCTACTTGTAAAAATAATTTTTATAAAAACAAGAAGTCTGCCAATTATAATCAACAAATAACATTTTTCACGTTTCCCAAAAATACAAAATTAGAAAAAATATGGGTTATGCGCTATTGCAGAAAAGATAAAATAAATATAAAAACTGGCAGAGTATGTAGTAATCATTTCAAGGATGATTTTGTGGATGGATGACATGTATGCTCGAATAATGGGAACTAGGTCTAAGTTGAAATTAAAGGATAGAGGTTAAGCGTTGTTGACTTAATGTAATTCTGTTTATTATCATCACTATTTTATAGCAATTCCGAGTAAAAACTTAAAATCTCAAGATGTTTAAAAACAAACAAAATGTGAACCTACAGCAAGAAGAGATAAAAGAGTAGCAATGAAAACACAAAAAGCTATCATTGAAGACTTATTAGAAAAATATTTATGTAGTGTATATTTATATCTATTGGAAATATAATAAACTAGTTATGTTTTTTACCAATTAAAATTTATTACCTATTATTTAAATTCTTACATTAAATTATACAAGTAATTCTAACTCAGATAATCCTAGCTGACCTCTAAGGGCCAGTAATTCATTCAAAATTTAACCCAGTATTGATAATTCAGTATATGCGACAAATTTTAAGTGTAAAATGGAGATTAAAATCCTAGATTTACGTAAATCTAGAACTTTATTCTGATTAATTTTAAGTATCAAACTAACTACATATCAACAGTTATCCACAATTAGGTATTATAACCCACTAATCATCTTTATTTCATAACTATCTTTACTATTTTCTATATATCAAAGACATGAAAACGCCGATTAACAATGTTATGATTCAAATTACTGTACTATCGTGACGTAATTTCGGGCTTAATGTTCATTGGTTAGTCGGAGTAGTCAACCGTAGTAAGACTACGAACCGTGAGTCAATCCAAGCACCGAACAACCCGAAGGTGCACTCCGATAAATTTACATTGGTAGCTGTCAGACAAATTCGGTGAACTTGCGCCATTTTTTTAATGTACAATGTCAGTGTTTACGATTGTACAAAATCAAATTATTAGCGAAACAAATAGTGATCTAACCTAACAACAAACACAAAATGATCTGTCAACGACGTGACTGTGAACTTAAAATATGGCCGCTGACCTGCGCAAACCAGATGCGCGAACAATTACCGCCGAGTCGAGTGCACCTTCGGGTTGTTCGGTGATCCAAGATCATACTAAATGACAAAAGAGCTTTCAAATGATATGTCACATACAGTATTGTGCGAATTAATGGAATCATTGTGAATTTTTTTTCATTTTTTGCATTGAAAACATAACCTTACTGTGTGTTGGTGTGTTTGAGTGTGTTTTAGGTCATTTCTTACCAAGCTTGTGTTGTTTTGGGGGTTTTGTACTATTTTGTGTTGTTTTTGGTTTTATTCCGACATGGATATTACGCCTAGGAAGCGTGAAAAGATTGTCACGTTGAGTGAACACACTAGTATGTCACAAAGAGAGATCGCTAGAACGTGTGGAGTGAGTCAGGGGGTAGTAAGCAAAATTTTGAAGCGTAAACGAGAAACGGGATCAGTGAAAAGGTTAGGAAAATGTGGAAGAAAGAGAAAAACAACACCAGCAGATGATAGATTTTTACTTCGAAAGAGCAAATTGGACCCAAGAAAATCAAGCCAAGACCTACATCAAGATCTAGCAGCATCAGCTAACGAATGAAGAAACAAAGGCTACTGTGGGCCAAAAAATACTCTAATTGGACTGTAGGCGACTGGAAAAAAGTCCTATTTACAGATGAAACGCACTTTATAGTTCAGGGACAGCGGTCGAAATTCGTCAGGACGTCTGACAATGAAAAGCTTACACCATCTCATATTGATCAAACCGTAAAACATCCAGTCAAGAAAATGTTTTGGGGATGTTTTTCATACATGGGGGTTGAATCTTTGGTGCCAATTGAAGGCATGATGAACAGCCAAAAATACAAATCCATGTTGGAAAAGTATTTGGACAAACAACTCCAAAAACGTCAACCCCAAGAAGGAGCGATTCTTCAACAGGACACTGCTCCCTGTCACAAATCAAAGGAAATGATGGCATTTTTCAAAAATAAGAAGATTAATGTTTTAGATTGGCCCGGTAATTCGCCCGACCACAACTCCATTGAAAATTTATGGGCTATTTGCAAAGCTAGACTGCGAAAAATCGACTGTACAACTAAAACAAAAATTATAGAAGCGGCCATTCAGGTTTGGTATCGAGATGAAAGGATATCTGACAACTGCCAGAAACTCATAGAATCTATGCCAAAACGGGTAAAAGCAGTAATTGCTGCCAAAGGGGACATATTTCCTACTGAATGATGTAAGTTTACCTTTATAGTTTTGTCAAAATATAATTTTTTACTAAATAAACTGTTTTTTCATTAAAACAGCCTATGATTCCATTAATTCGCACAATACTGTACCATATAGTGTCATGTACCAAACACTAGACCATACTTTTGTACTAAGGTACATATTCTTTCGGTATTAAAACTATATCCTACGCTTACAAGAATTTATTAAATTATATTTAACAACAATCTTCAATAAGCCAGACATAAAACCGTTAAAAGAGCAAACCATAACTTCTATAGTTTCGCAATCGTAATGAGGGACATCGATTCTCGTATTACCAAATAAATACTTTATTTTATTGTTATGTACCTACTCCTATAAAGTTTAACTTACCAACGATTTCATCAGCAACTTCTTTTTTAACAACGATTGGACTGTTCTCCTCCTCAACGTTAATTGTTTCATTTGAGCTGGACACGTGATCGTTGCTATTTTCATGGATGCTTTTGACATCTTCTGCATCTTCGTCAGTGGACTTGGCTTCTTTGGGTAGTTCGGTACTCTTTCCATGCAATTTTTCTAAAGCATGGTTTAATCTGTGTTTCTTAAAGGACTTGAGATATCTAAATTGCATTCCGCACACATCACACGAAAAGAGTTTATCAGCCGGAAGCCTTGCGCGGTGGTTTTGCTCGCGATGCTTGACGTAGGCTGATCTATACCTACAAATGAAAAATATTTGGCATTAAACATCAATTATAAATAATAAGCAAAAATTTGAGAATAGTAACTAAATATTTTAATTTAAATTTAAAAACTGCATCGAAGATCATTATAAATAAAACTAAGTGAAATATTTGCATTTTTATCGTAAAATTTCACAAACAATAAATTTTCTGAAGAAAATTTTTAGGGAAGAAGTTTTAATGTATGCACAAGTGAAAAATCTCATAGATTAAGAATATAAGCAAATATATAATCAACATCAGTAGACTTAAATTTGTCCACGCATGTTATTCTGCACATTTATTTAGAACAAATATCGCTTCTCCGGAGCAACAAAGACGTAAGTGCAATTTTTTGCAGTTTTGAGTTAAATGTGTCAAAAAGTTTATTCCTGCCATTCTATCAGATGGAACAATACCATGATACTATGAGTTCCAAGATAAAACCACTTCGCAATCGAATTTTGTACGTCGATGCGCATGATGTCACTTGGTGATAAAAGTTTATCTTAATTTAATATTCTGAAATATATTTTATCTAAAAGTGCACACATTTATTTGTCAGCGTACTAGAGAAATGATAAAACAATAGGAAATCTGACAAAACTCCATGCAAAACAGAACATTTCTGGTGACATTTGTCGCCAAGTGGCGTCACACGTGCAAAAGAGATAGACTGATCGCGTGCGCGTGGGTTTATCTTTAGTTCATAGTATCAAGGAACAATACCATAAAGCTAGTACATTTATTGGCCGGTGGGAAGCAGTTGTTTCGTTGTCAAAATTATGTACTTTTCGGATAATATTCTTATCGAACGGAATACTTCGTTTATATTTCTACAACAACATAAGTGTAGATTATGACAACATAAAACAAAGTTTTGGTGTAATCTCAGAAGAATATCGGCGTAACGGACAATTGTGTCATTGTTCGCCTAGAAAATTTGATATCTCTGACGACTTGCTGGGTGATTAAAGCCGTAAGTACACATTTGCGTCGTTATTGTTTTTGAATAGTAGTCATATTTAACTCAAATCACATTAAAAATTTGTGTGAAATAGTGTGTGTAAAAACAGTCAATATAATAGATTTGTATTTCAGTGAAGAAATAAAACGCAAATATAATCTTGAATAATGAAAAGGACTGAGCTGATACTTCATTTAGCCACTCCTAATTTACAAGAAGAGAACCGTACTCCAGAGGAACCATAAGTATTGGAAGACAATAATATTTCAGAAACACTCAATGATACGGTCATTTTAGCAGAATTGCAGCCAGTGAATTTAAATCCGAATTCCTCGAGTTTAGACCCTAATAGAATGTTCTACATAAGCCTTGTGATCTTGGACCAGGTAGGTACATTCCGTTTTTAATGAAAATTACTTTTATTGATTATTAATTACTTTTAGATAATCTACGTATTTCAAACAATTATGAAACATAACCCAGTACATCATATTATGTTGAAACCCACTCATTAACCAAGATAACTTTGAGAAAAATGTCTCGAACAGTCTATGATGAGAAACATTCCTCAGATGATAAGAACAGCTTATTTATAGAAGATAATGACAACTATGTACTATCAGAAAATACAATATCGTCGAAAAGTGAAACAAATTCGATCCCTATCTATAAAAGAGAAAAAGAGACCCAGAAGTCCATTTTCTGAAAATAAAATAAGTCCTCTAAATAATACAGAAAATTGTACGTTCATCAAAAAAGATAAGAAGAGAGTAAGAATTCCAGAAGAATAGCAAAAAAATAAAGCTAAACTCATTAAGAATTCAGGAAAAAATTATATTTCAACAATTGGAAAAGTTGTTAATTCTGCATTGCATTTAAAAGTGTTCAGAGTTTAGCGAAGACCATAGAGCTGATTTTTTTTTCAACAGTATTGGAATCTAGGATCACTGCAGAGACAACGTGATGATTTGTCTTCTTGTATTGAACCACTTCAGTTGAGTTATCGCCGCATAACAACTATCTAAATACCTAAAAGACAGAACTGTGCTTTCTATCTGCTTCATAATGGAAAACGAATGCGTGTATGCAAAACATACCTGATTAACACTTTTGGCATTTAGGCTAGAACAATTTATCCAACCAAAAGCTTCTGGGTCTGGAACTGTACCGCAAGATAAACGTGGAAAACATCAAGAACAGGTAAAGATGAACCCTGAAATAATGATGTCTGTAAAATCACTTATAAATTCTATACCTCGTAAAGAGAGCCATTACAAAAAGGCTAACACATCAAGAGAGTTTATACATGGCGATTTATCCGTTGCAGAAATGCACAGACACTATAAAAAGAAGCAAGACGATTTGGGCCAGACTGCTGCAAACTATGACGCCTACGCCCACATATTTATTACACAATTCAATATTGGTTTCTTTTTCCCAAAGAAAGACTTGTGTGAATCATTTTAAAAAGCGCCTGACGAAGAAAAGAAAAATTACAATGTCAGTATAAGTCACATCAAGAGAAAAAAGAGCTAAGCAGAACTGAACTGAGAAAGCTTCAGACAAAGAAAAAGCACAAGAAGAAGGATCAAATACAGCTGTCCTGCCAGTACCCATGGGACAAACATCAGCTTTTTACTATAAATCAAGATTAAATTGTTTTCATTTTACGATATCAGAAATAAGCAATGGCAAGACATCCTGTTACTTCTGGCATGAAGGTCTAGGACAAAGAGGAGCAGTCGAAATTGGTTCATGTGTCCTGACATTTCTTAAAGAAATTGCTAATATACATCCTCAATCTGGCATAATTTTTTATTCCGATAACTGTTGTGGTCAGAAAAAAAACAGATTTGTTCTTGCAATGTATTACTACGCAATTAAGAATTTTTAGTTAACTTCCATAACACACAAGTACCTCATCCGAGATCATACACAGAACGAAGGTGATGTAGCCCACGGTATCATCGAAAAAACTATGAAAAAAGCTAAAAAGCCGGGACCGATATACATTCCCGATCAAATTGTGTCGATGATTAGAAACGCAAAGAAAAAAAGGAAACCCTCTTATAATAAAAGAATTAAGTTACAATGACTTCATCGGTTTGAAAACGCTTGCTACTTGCGAAAGAAAGTAATAGGTTCTTTTACAAAACCAGCTACACATTTAAAAGCGAAATATATTTCATGTAAAGTTACCACATTATTTTAGAATTAAAGTAAAAACGAGTAGGTGGTGAATTAGCTTCGCTTAATTTATTTATCGTATGGCAATTATAACACATTTAGAACAAAATTACAAACACTAGTAACATACAAACTTTAGACAAGATCGGAATTGCCTTGTTAACAGCCAACATTCGCAACGGACATGGCACTTGAAGAAGAAGAAGACAAACTTTAAATAGTTACAAACAAACATCAAGTGTATTAATATAATCAATTGACTATGAAGTTGTCTTCAGGGCTACCTGAAGGACACTGATTCTTGAGGGAGACTCTTCAATAATGTGGTCGATGGTTTGGTTCTCCCACAGTCACATTGAGGAGACGGATTCTTTCCCCATTTATGTAGCATGTATGCACATCTGCCATGTCTGGTTCGAATCCTATTTAGAGTAGACCATGTTTTGCGTAGAAGATCAAAACCTGGTGGCTTGTGGGTAATGCAGGGCATGTTATTTTGTCATGCGTTCCATTCTTGAGACCATGCATTCGTGATATTGAACTCCTCATGTATCATTCTTGCCGTTTTCATTGGTGGTATTCTAGAATGGAGACGGGTATTTCGTATATCCTCGGTATCTTGGTGGATAGGCAGGTTTATATTGTTCATGATCTTTGTGTATTAACGTGTAAGTGCGTCAACTCGTCGTAAATGTGGAGGTGGGATGTGACTTAATACTGGAAGTCATTGGGTGGGAGTTGATTTATTTGTACCAGCTCTCATTCTCATAGTGCTGTGCAGCTGAGTGTCGACCTTTTTTACGTGTGGTCTGTGTAGCCAAACTGGAGCACAATAGTCAGCGGTCGAGAAAACAAGGGCTAAGGCAGTAGAGCAAAGAGTGGAAGCCGATGCCCCCCAGGTGATACAGCAGAGCTTCTATATAATGTTATTTCTTGTACTCAACTTATGGGCAGTTTTTGTTAAATGCAGGGTTTTGTTGTGGGTAAGTGTGATATTTTCAAACCATATGTTGAGTTCCTTTCCAGCAAGTTTATTGTTCAGGTGAAAGCAAATAACTTCTGTTTTGGATGCATTTGGTTGAAGTCGTAACTTGCGCAAATATTTGCTCAATATATATATATATATATATATATATATATATATATATATATATATATATATATATATATAATACGGTTCAAGAAACTTAAAACTACTATATATATATATATATATATATATATATATATATATATATATATATATATATATATATATATAAGGATCACTCAGACGAGTGGTGGGTTCTTATATCGGTCTCTAGGTGGAGAAATAAAAGACAAAGTTGATAGGGTACTTTATCTATTTTGAAGACGTTTCGCTTTCGAGTTTTGAAAGCATCATCAGTTCATCTTAAAAAGACATGTAGCAGTCAAAGTTATTAACAATAATGTGAATGAAACTTAAGTAAATGGACATAATACGCTGATCTTGTATAAACAATTAAGTAACTAACAACATATATGAACTTATAAAAATTAGCACAGCAAATGACCATGTGGTCTAAAGTAAATTAAATGTTATTTAATATTAATTAGTGAGAAAGAACTAAGAAAATCATAGACAACTTCCAACTATTTTATGATTATTAAGCTTTGATTTTAACTTTAGGTAGCATTATAAGTGATATTAATAAAAATTATAAAAGTAGTGTAAATGAAGTTACCGATCAAAGCCCTACAGTTGTCGCCGGAAAAAAGCATTGTCATTTTTCCGGCGACAACTGTAGGGCTTTGATCGGTAACTTCATTTACACTACTTTTATAATTTTTATTAATATCACTTATAATGCTACCTAAAGTT